GCTGAGGGCTACTTCCAATCTCTAAACTACACGTATTTGATTCTATATAGCATATCTGAAACTATAAGTAGTGGTATGTGACGAACGACTACTTTTGAGCGCAAAGTTACACGTAATTTAGAAACAACTCATAAACCCTGTTATTATTTATTAGCTAAGCGAGTATTTGTGTATAGTTTGGTACTTTGAGTTTTGAAATAGTCTCTCGGAAGCCTCAAAAAACTAGTCGACTGCTATACCTATGAAAGTCATGTAGCCATTTATAAGTGTTTCCGTTGGTGGCCACATAACGTGAGATCCACAATGGGAATATCAGGCGAGCTTGTACTGCTTAACACGTTGCAGGTTGTATCTGAAGAACTTTAATTAAGCACTCCTGTGTTGAAGCTTTTTAACGCTAACCTTATCTATTGGTAATGTGTTGAGGTTAAGCTTTTATACCCTACAAATGAGATTTTAAATTAATAAGCTTTCAAGTGGAATAACAAGGGTGGTGTTTCTACTGCTTCCGATTAGGCTCTTATTCCACTTGTAGTATGTTTATACCTCTATAACACTTTTGTTACTAGCACCTGACAAATAAAAAATCAGCTGATGGAATAGGGGAATAATTCTTGTCCGGCTTCACATTTTCCATTCTTTAAAGAATTCGAAAATGGCAGACATGTATACACTGCACCATTACTAGCTGAATTGATTTTATAGATTATTTCGTGTGCTTTAAAAATACCCAGGGTTAAATACCATTCTAGAAAGACGACTGAAGATCAGAGTGATACTAAAGAACATCTGCATAGTTAGAATAGACTTGGCTTTGAATCTGAATCTTACAACTTACAGCAACGAAAGGTGGAGAAATTCTGGGTTCAGCCGATTAGTCCCGCATGGATAAATTAATAACCAAAAGAGTACTACCTGAAGATGTGTGAGCTCCACTGGGTGCTAAGTGTTAATAATCTAGATTTTTTAGCTATTCATAATATGAGTATTTTTGCGTAATATGACCTGAAATGTTTCTTATTACAATCTATAATACTGAAAGCAGAAGAGAATTGATAACTAGATTTAGCTGAAAAGCTAGATAGCCTGAATCATTATTTTATAGATAATGGGTTTGAAAGAAGTGATAAAACTTACAGACGTATAAGGGAAAATCTAATGAAAAATCTTATCATCAATTGAACTAAAATGTGAACTGATGACAATCAAAATAGTAGGTTTCTTCTACTCACGTATAAGAGAACTGTGGTTTACGTCTTATATGACAGTTGAATGCGTGTAAGAAAGTGAAAACAATACACAAAGTATGGATGTTTAATAACATTTAATAAAATATTCAATAACACGACTGGAAACAAAAGAAAGATCTGCTTACACACCATAACGTTAACAGCTTAACATCGTTATCGTTCATTACGTCTGGTTAGAAGTAAAGCCCTTTTTCTAGTGACCTTAGATTTTAATAGATAATGTAATTAAAATTTGTTGAGTAATTTACACTATATTCTGTTTCATCTTTGGCTCAACGGACTATTTCTAAAAATAATGGCTCATTACTCTGAAATTCGAAGCTCAGTCTCTTCGACAGAGATAACACAAATATTCTCATTGTGTAGTTCTGCGCTAAAAACAAAAAAAAAAACATTTGGCTGTAATTGCCATCACCTTGTAAACTATTTCGATGAGTATGTCACTTCTTTACATTTCGGAAACGGACTAAATTCCGAAACGTGCAGGGCGTTGACATTTTATATTTTCTAGGGGACGCTGAAAGTTAAACGACTGACAATTAGTCATTGAAATTTTTATATCGAAATGAAAATAAAGACAATTAATTTTAAATATCTTATTTTCTTAAGATTATTATACATTTAAACATTTCTTCAAAATGTTCTTGTTATAAAATATAATTTAATATATGTGTTAGGAGGACACTGTATCTCTATAGTAGCTAACAGAACTATTTTGCGTAGTGTACAACAATTTACAAAAACAAGTGGACATGCAATATAAAAAAATCACTACACTCTCCCAAAGAATTAGGAGACAATCGAAATGTTTCTTTTTACTAATAGAAAGTCTTAAATTTTGTCTAAACAAATGTTATTTATGCTTATTTTTCTGTTGTGTTTTCTTCTGTTACCTGGTGATAATTAATTCAATATATTCTAATCTGGAGGATCTTACTTAATATAAATGTTGGGTGGAGCTAAAAATGAAAAAGTCCTTGCCAAACGCAGTGTAAAAGAGTTAATTGACAAAAATATAGTCTGGACTTTGACCCTTTGACAATCAAAGTGGAAAGACCATTGCCTCCTTTTGGCCAGTGAGTTGAAATATCGTTAAATTTAATTAGAGAACATCATATAATGACGTTTTTATTTCACTTTCGAGCCAGCAGGTTACGCTCTGTTCTCGCTACAATTTATTGTAAATAGTTTATGATTTCATAAAATTTTTCTTTTTTCTAGGTGGCAACAGAGAAATGATCCTGTCGTTTTTTGGAGACGGCAGTGTTCGCTGTGTGTATACAGGCTATTCTGATTATTACAGATGTGGAAGGTAAAAATATTTATAAAAAAACATTCTTACGGTTGTAAACATATATATATAGTCACACACCCATACATGTAGCACTCTTTTATTTTAAAACTTGGTTTTACTTACGATTATGAATTATTGTTTAACTGTACTTTATACTATTTTTACAATACGTTTCATCATTAGTTAGAAACAACCTAGGACAGAATACAATGACAACTGATGTAGAATGTAGTTTTTATGAACATTCTTAGTTAAATATGCACCTTTTTAGAACAAATATTAAAAACTCTTTGTTTTGTTTCTTGATATTTTATACCAAATTTATTTAGATTTATATCCTCTCGGGATTTCTTCGTTTATCGTTATGCGCTATGCAAGCACTTTTTATTGTTGAAACTTCAATATCAGTGAAAGTAATTATTGGTCTACGTTTATTAACTACTCTCATAGGAATTATAATTGTATCAGTGCCTTATCTTCCTGTCCGTGAGTTGATTAATGCTTATAATTAACAACACATTGAAAAATTTCACAGAATATATGAAAAAATAATCAAAACAGTGTAATTTATGTTCGACTGTATTCATGTTAGTCAGCTATCCAAGTATAAGTTGGCGGGTATTAGACAGTTACCAATTTATGTGTCTGTAGATGGTTGAGTGCTATCCAGTTAGAAGTGTTTGTCATCTATCTAACTATGTAAGTCGACAGGTGTTAGACAGTTACCAGTTTATAGGTCATTAACCGTTAGGCAAAAATCCAAATATACGTTGTCAGGTGTTGGTAGTGTTTATAGCTTTTATGGGTTGATATATTTAAGATAATTCTTGATGGTTGTTACATAGCTACCCAATTTCATAGGGTGATAAGTTCTTAAGTAACTAATTATCGGTAGGAAAACGTAAACAGTTTCTAACTACATACTGGCAATATTCAGGTTTCCATCAAAATTGAAATTAATAAATGTTATGCATCTACTCAGATATATGCTGTGATTTATTTTTATCAGTAAAAATTCAGCTGGGCTTACGTAACATTACAGTGTTCGAGACATTCATCCAAGAAGCTATACATTGTTAGAAAATAGGAATTAGATATCTAGTCAAAACTTTGATAGATATAAGAGTAATAAGACCGTTTTCTGATGATAGATAAGCTGATATTAGGCAATCGTCCATTCAAAGGGGTAGATGATAGGCAATTGCCCAATAGCTATACGAGATCTATCCAATAGCAACAAGTCGAGGTTAGTGATCTCCAGTGATTCTAGATTCACAAACTCATCAGTGCCAGGTAACTATCACTGAATATGGCTGAAGTCATATAGTTATTTAATCACAACGATGTAGATATCAGGCATCTAACCAATAATCAACTGATCAAAAACGCACATCCGTACAATTATAAGCTTGATAATACAAAATAATTATTAAATCCTAAACTAGTTGATAACCGGCAGCTATTGTGATTAATAAAGTAGCTATTTAATTACATCAGGTGGCAATCTGATAACCAATACAAACTGGTTCATGTCAGACACCTATCGAAACATAAGATGTCGAATATATTAAACAATATAGTTTGACGGGTGTTAAGCAATCATCCGTATAATTTGCAGCCATTCGTGTAAGGCTTAGTGAGTGTGAATCAGCCATCCGTGTATGGCTCGGTGGGTGTGAATAAGCCCTCCGTTTATTGTTTAATAGTTGTGAATCAGCCACTCATGGATAGCTTGGTGGGGTTAAGCAGCCGCTCATGGGCAATTTAGTGGGGGTTTAGGTAACAGCCATCCGTGTATAGCTTTGTAGGTGTTAGGAAGCCATATGTGTATATTTGGGTGGATATTAAGTGGCTATCTGTGTATAGAATGTTTTTGTGTTAAGCAAGCACCCGTATGTAGCTGGTTGGTGCTATGTGGTTATCCGTCTGTAGCTGGTTGGTGTTAAGTAGCCATTTATATATATAATTTGGTTGGTGCTAAGTAATTATTCTTATACAGCTTGTTAGTGCGAAGTAGTCATACATGTACAGCTAGTTGGCGATAGGTAAACATTCATGTATAGTGAGTTAGTGCGAAGTAGTCATCCGTATATAGCTGGTTGATGTTAAGTATGTATCCGTATATTGCTATTTGGTGCTAATTAGCCATTCGTGTATAGCTTAATGGGTGTTACGCAGAAGTCCGTATATAAGTACCATCTGTATATAGCTGGTTGTTGTTAATCAGCTGTCATTCATAGTTTGGTATGTTTCAACCAATTATCCGTTTACATTTTAGTAGGTGTTTGTCAGTTACTTATCTTTGTTTTGGTGGATGTTAAGCAACTGTAAGTATACTAACTTCGGTTGATAACTTGGAAGAAGCTAAACATGTTTTAATTTATAGTTGCTTAGGCATTTATAATAACGCAACATGGACAGTTGTCTAATTCTAACAGATTAAGAGATGTAATACATGAATTTATATATATATCACAATATCTCGACTGACTCTGTTTTAGAATGTTTGGAATAGTATTATTATAAGATTAAGTTTTTAGTGTGGCTTGGGATGGTCAGATTGTTAGGACGTTCGACTTGCAATCTGCAGAACTCTGGTTCGAATCCCATCACTGAACGTGCTTACTCTTTCGATCATGGGTTATTATTACGTGAGGGTCAATCCCGCTATTCGATTAGAATGATCCAAGTGTTGGTGGTGGGTGGTATTGACTAGCTCCTTCATTCTAGTCTATTATTTCTAAATTAGGGACATCTAGCACATACAGCCTTTTTCTTTCTTCTTTTTTTTTTTGCTAGATATAAAAAGAAAATTTTAGTTTGTTGTTAACCACAAAGCTATACAATGGGTTATCTGTGATCTGCCTACCGAGGGTATTTAAACCCGATTTCTAGTGCTATAAGCCCTCAGGCTTACCTCTAACCCACTGAGATGTGAATAAAGAGAAATGTTACTGCTTAGCCAAATTCAACAAATCAATTCTACCGAAATATAAATGTGAATATAGGTGTTCTATGCTAGGTTTAAGGCAGACATAACATATGCATGGTTTATTTCGAGCTGAATATGTGGGTTGTTTTTAATAGGATTTTGATGGAGGATCGGAATTCAACTAAAATATTTTTACCAACTTCACCCATCTGTTTGAGTGTACTTGATGATGTCGTGTCCAAATTGCTAGGGCAGGTTTTTCATCAGTCTGATTAATAATTTGGTTATATATGTAGTCTGAAGGAGAAAATTGTGTTTTTAGAGAAGGCACGTCTCTCTTACATAAGTTGATTATTACACGTATTTGATGTATTTAATGGGCTTCCCTTAAGATATGCCCCCCGCCCCCAATGGCACAGCGGTAAGTCTGAAAGCTTATAACGTTAAAAACTGGGTTTTGATACCCGTGGTAGGCACAGCACAAATAGCAATTGTTGACCTTGTGCTTAGCTACAACCAAACCTTTAGATACAACGAAATATAGGTAATGAGGTGTTTTCATACCAGCAGTTCTATGTATTTTTTTATTGAAAGAAAAGGATTTGTATTTGTAACGCGAGTTTGGAAATACAAGTATACTGTATTTAAATTGCTGTGATTCTTCATCTAGTGAACCCTTCCTTCTTCGTACATATTGAGATATTTATAGTGGGAGTTCTATTCAGTTTTTCTGATGACTGAATTTTTAATGCTATCTGCTGTTGTTAGAATTCTTACCAACCTAAAATCCTCCACGGCTGCACATTATTGTTCTATATGTATGCTAATATTCATAGATCAATAAAAAAAAGAGTACCGCAATCCCAGAAAATATCAAAACCCACGTCTATCCTGTCTTCGCAACAGTAGGAAATGGGTGGGGTGGATGCGTAATTGGATTTGTTCACGAGACCCACTTTTCTCTTTCATCATATTTGTTTTTTCCTTGTCTTTTCACGACAGTCGAGGAACATTTTTTACAAACCATGAAACAAATTTGCATAGCAGTTAAAACCCTCTCCGCATTCTTAGATAGAATATTTTTAACTGGTCAGAATAATTTGCAAATTGCAGGTCGCTTCCTCTCGCATGTCCTTAATTCTGTTCTTATCGTTTTCTGTTATTTCGGAAATGCAAACTGATTTCGATTCTAATTTTTAAGTTTTTATATTTACAAATACATTTTGCGATTTTCGTGAATTTTTTGTGTTGGTTTTATAGTCTAAGATATTCACTAAATTCATAACTATGTTTGCAACTTTTGTCTTTTTTAAGTGTGTTCGGATATCTTGTGAATATTTTCTATTTGACATCTGATCAAAGTGCTCTACTATTCATAAACAGAATTAAAATTTTTTCGTTTGTTTGTTGTTAAGCGCAAAGCTACTCAATGGGCTATATGTATTCTGCTCACCGTGGTTGTCGAAACGCAATATTTAGCACTATAAGTCCTCAGACTTATCGATGAGCCAATAGGGTACAGCAACATTAATGATTCTATTTGGCACTTATCCAGCTAAAAGCTGACGTACAGCAATAACACATTATAACCCATTCCCTATGCTACTTTATACACACAGTTTGTTTATAATTAATAATAAAAGTTTCTTTGGTTTTATGATGTTAAAAATTTGATCAAACGCCACAATGCTTCTGTGATTGTTGCGTAATAAAAAAATACTCGACACAGCACGAAGCAAGGTATCTGCAGCAGGGATTCTTATTACAGCTTAGTATGACACAATACGAAGAACGGTGTCTGCAGCAGGGATTCTTATTACAGCTTAGTACGACACAATACGAAGAACGGTGTCTGCAGCAGGGATTCTTATTACAGCTTACTACGACACAATACGAAGTAAGGTATCTGCAGCAGGGATTCTTATTACAGCTTAGTACGACACAATACGAAGAACGGTGTCTGCAGCAGGGCTTCTCATTACGGTTTATTACGACACAGCACGAAGCAATGTATCTGCCACAGGGATTCTCATAACGGTTTATTACGACACAGTACGAAGCAATATATCTGCCACGGGGATTCTCATAACGGTTTAGTACGACACAGTACGAAGCAATGTATCTGCCACGGGGATTCTCATAACGGTTTAGTAAGACACAGTACGAAGTACGATGTCTGCTACAGGAATTATCATTAGTGAAAATCAAAATATTTAAATAACGTAGGTTATTCATTATGATAATATATTTAATTTACAAAATCGATAGGTTTTTTTGGATATGAGTTCAGGTTCAAATGTTTAAAACGCCTAAGAGAAATATATAAATATGAAAACTATAGAATTTGTTATTACAGTGTATTGTTATTTCTCACTCCTTGATGGTTCAGTGATAACTTGATGGCTTATAAGACTATAATTCGGAGTCTGATACTTGCGGTGGCCACAGCACACAAATCTATTGTGAAACTTTTATGCGTGTTTGAAAATATCTACCAGTGCAATGTACTACAGATGGTAATCAAGAACAAAACTATCTTCAAAGCGATTTATATAGGAACTGTCTGAAATTATATAGTTAATTCTTGTTCAATCGGCAATTATTTAAAACTAGCCGTGACCCGCAAAATATTTGTGGTAGTTTTCAAGCCCTTCGCTTGAATTTTCCTTATTCTATAATTTCCACGCACGCCATTTAAGCTACGCTTTCTTGCAGGCATTATGTGTTAGATCGATAAATCCTGGTATATTTGAAAAAAGCTTAACATGGTCAAACAAACAAACTCACGTAGACTTAACTTTACTTAATAAAACTACACGCACGCAACTTTATTTAATAAAACTACATGTACGCAACTTTATTTAATAAAACTACATGTAAAGTAAACAATATAGCAAAGTACTGGTATTTATGATAGAGTACAGAGTATGAAACAGCTATGAGCATTCAGTGTATGACAGGGTTTTATGATATGAAACAAAGAAATTCACAAAAAAAAGAAAAATAAACCCAGAAGGAAAGAAAAAATAGCTAAAAGGTCTTTATAGTAGTTTACGAAACGAACCGAAGCTAAATTATTGCAAAGTAAAGTAAATGTATAAGGTTGTAGTGAAGGCAAACTTAGATGAATATGCAGAAACGTCGGAATGCGATTTGAACGAACTGCGCTTACGTATTTTAGATCTAAATAGATCGCGAAAGCCCATACAATTATATTTGGTGTAATGTTCATCTTATTTTAGGAAATTACACGCGGGTTAAGTGTTGTTTGTGTAAAATACTTTGCAAATGAAAAACTAAAGTTCAAATGGAAGCCAGTCGTTACGTGATGGCAACGACATTGTACCACCGTGTAGCAAATTCGTTGCATTAAAAAGCTCAACTAAGCAAAAAACAGTCAAGGTGATTCTGATTTGAAAAGCCCATATGTAATCCGGACTCCAAGGACAAAGGCCTTTTAAACGATATGAGATTTATAGCGTTTGATCGAGAAATTTGCGAGAAAAGTTTCGGACAGACAAACGCAAGCTTATTATATATATAGATGGCAATTTAGAATCTTTTAAAAGCCGAGAATAATTTAATACTGTTATCCTAGTACTCTGCATTTCTTAGTTTAATTATTACAACTGTATTTCTTACAGTTTAATTTCAAATGGATATTTATTATTTTTTGATAATTCTGTTTTTGATTTCCCTAGGTCTGTCGATAAAACTAACCCACAGCTGACCGACTAAATCTGCTGAGGAAAACTTATCTGACAAGTTTCATGATTTTAACGTCATAATTACGTGAAATTCTTTAATTACATGAAAAAAATATTTATTTGATGTAGAAATAAAAAATAAAACATTAAAAAATTCAGTGTATCAGTTATGTTTTCTGATTTTCATGTAATTATTTTTCTTGTTTAAAATCTTGAAAATAAATTCCCTTAATATTTTTGAATGAAATAAGCTATACATTTACTGCTGTTTAATGAGTTATTAAAGAGAATATAATATATTTACTGTTGTTTATTGTGAATTATTTTCGTGGCGTGTTTCAATTTCTATCTCTGGAAGCGTCCTAAAGAAATCTATTGTTTACAATTAATTTATAATTCAAACTATTAATTCCACAAACTCATTATCTTACTACCAAAACCCGGTGTTTTTATTTGTTCTCAAACACGCTATTATGAGCCACGAATCATTTGTAAAATTATAAGTTTCAAAATTACAGTAAAAGAACAATTAACGTTATATTCGTCGTTGAATAGGTTATATTGTTAACATTTTGAAGTTGGTTGGTTACTACAGAGTACCAAGTTATTTTTAGAATACACAAGTATTTTGTTGATGAAAATTCCTGCCTTGTAAATTTCTGAACATTATTTTGATCGGTGACGGCTTTTGTGACCTGAGCTATGATCGCTTTTTTTTCAACATTGTTTCTATTTGTTTAAAAGTTATAAAATGCTAAGTTATATAGACGTCCGTCTTCACAATCTCCACTTATAAATATGTGACTTTAATGATTCAAATCAAACATATATTAGCTTACATATATATTAAAAATACACTGAATACGCCTAATCGCTAAATTAATATCCTAAGTGGTGTAAAACAAGTCTTTAACGTTCTTCTCATGTCAAAGTAATTAACCTGTTTTCGATCTTTCTCTTTTTTAATATTCAATCAAATCACCAAGCATTATATAAATACTTTAACAAATTTGTGGTAATTTGAAAAAGTCCAATTATCGGTTTAATCTTTGGATACTCTGGTGGCTATTAATATGGGTTCTCTAATATGGGTTCTCTTGTGTTGAAAAATATTCGATTTTGAAATTTCTTTAAATATAGACAAACCAATTCCTAGTTCTAAAATGTGAACTTTAGTAAAATTAATTAGTGTATTGTGATTTGTAACAATCTTTGGTGATTTAAATCATAAGTTGCCATAAGAGAAAATTACACAGATAAACTAAATACTGTATATATATATATATATAGAGAGAGAGAGAGAGAGATAACCAATCTGATTTATCAAAAATACACACGTAGAGAACACTGAAAGTATCTTTATATTAAGAATGTTAACAATGTTAAATCTTGGTTAAAATAACAGTAAAAAAAACTTTAATATTTAAACACAATCAGAAAAGTTGTATGAGTATCGTAACTGCAAAATTACGTAGATCATTTTACGTATTAGATGTACTACAAAATTATACCTGTTCTACGAACGAGAGGCTTAGACTTATAACAAGGCGGTTTCAAAAACCCGATACTGCAACTGAATAGTAGAAGATTTTTGAAATTTAAATGTTGATAATAAATAAAGAAAAGGTTGCTTTTATTTTACACAGTTGACAATGTGTATGAAAATGAATTACGAACTATTGGAGTCAGAAGCAATTTGGTGCGTATATAGTTTATACAGTATATTAAAAAAATTGATGGTATGGATCCCGTCCGTAATTCTAGAGTTAAAAGAATTGGTAATTTTCTTTCTTGAGGGTATATCCGCAAACCATCCACGTCACTACGGAAATGGAAGAAAACACCCCCCCTCCTTTTCTAGAAATTATCTTCCACAGACAAGATCATTGTGTCACAACTCCACGGAAAAACCTTCTACTTCCGACCGTCGACCACAAACCAAAACAAGTACCCGAAATAAGCAGACTCAAGTCAACACGCACACATATCAGGAACCCGAAGTCCATGACCACGACATAAGTCGAGAAATCTTCCATAGACGTCTAAAATAGGGATTTAAGCATACGTTTAAGCGTGCAGTAAACACCTACAACGACAACTAAGAAGATTCCTAGGACAGCTGACTCAGGTGGTGCCAGAGCCTTCGAGTACACCACAGCTTAGCAGGTACCCTAAGTGACGACTCTAGGGACGCCCTCATTAGCCATATCACATTTCTTTTTTCCGACTTTCATTAATAAATCGATTTAAGTCCAATGAGTCACCAACATAGTACTCCATACATGCATGTTATTATTAATAATATATAGTCCCCCTCTCTAATCTAGATTTTAGCAGTTTTGTCACTAGAAGAGTAGAATATTCGGCATCTAGCCAATGAAAACGAGTTTTTCTCGGGGTACCCTCGTCCCCCCACCCCACACACACACACATAAAACTGTTGGATATTGAATCTCCTTCCCGTTTTGTTGGATCCTATGTTCCTCTTATGTCTGAAATTTTTATCCCTGCAATTATTGTTCTTAGTTTTTAATCACGATGACTTCCTACTACATCTACGCAACGAGTGGGGTGAAGAGAAACGTTCGATTTCTGAGTGCACCTGGTTTTCTTTAGCCTAAATACCTGCCATGGTTGAAATGAACTGAATTAATTGAACATGAGAGAGACATACAGAGAGAATCAGGAGAGAGGAAAAATCATGACAACTCCAGTGATTATCTACGGTTTACGTAGCACTTACTCCTTGAAGCAAATACTCGACTTCATCAAGTACAAGACAGATTCCAAACTCCTTACCGAAACAAAAAGAAGGTCATATATATATGCTATTTTCATCCAACATCACCCGAGGACTTCGCTTACCAGTGTTCTCTCTGGAACCCCAGTTCTGTACCATCCATCATGAAGTAGTGACAACTTTCCATCATTTTCCTGGGGAAAGTGGAAAGCCCTGGAAAAAACTTACCATCCAAAATTCTCGCCATCCATAAAAACACGTCCGTATAAAATCTACAAATACTACACAATTCATGAAGGTAGTAATTATTTCCAGTCAGGAAGCCGAGTAATTACTTCTACGTATTCGTTGCTTGGAGTACCTTTATTTCAGGGCTGAAAACCACACTATAAGAAGATTTCCGACCTTCTCAGAGCAATATAGTAATCCAAACAAACAAGCATGCCCCAGTTAAACTTTCTCCCCAGACCCAAGCTACCCAAACCCCTGCTGAAAAAGAAAACGCTGGCTTAATACCCACAAGAAAAACCTCGTCAGCCCACCATCGTTTCCAGACAATCATCAGAAAGAAGAAAAAAAACATTCCATAAGAACGTAAATCCTCAGATTCCGAATCCGAAGAAGAAGAAACGACGTCACAAAATGCGTTTGCAAGTGGCTTGGGATGCCTACAAATGAAATTCACCAGAAGTTCGTTGATCTCCTCCTGAAAGATATCACGGAAGATGCTCTCATCAGCAGAGCACTTCGAAGCCACTTACCAGTCTTTAAAGAACATATGAATTTCCTGACCAACTAGTTAGCTCACTGCCACTTGGCTCATTTCCAATAAGTAATCATTGAGTCATTTCATCCATGTATGTTTTTCCTAACGTGAATTTCTTTCCAAATTTAGATATTAGTCTGGCACTGGTCGGTTAGAATATTCGACGCTCAACCAGCGAAAGTACATTTTTCTCTAGTTAGCTCACTGCCACTTGGCTCATTTCCAATAAGTAATCATTGAGTCATTTCATCCATGTATGTTTTTCCTAACGTGAATTTTTTTCCAAATTTAGATATTAGTCTGGCACTGGTCGGTTAGAATATTCGACGCTCAACCAGCGAAAGTACATTTTTCTCGAGGTACTTTAGTTTTCCTCCAGATCAAATTTTTGGGTATAGGATCCCCTCCTTGTTTGGTTGAATCCTATGATTTCTGATTTTTTTCTTATAACGTTGAAATTTACTTTGCGCAGGGAAGATCCACATGAAGAGGGAAAACTTTTCTCAGCTGTTTGAGCTTTTCCAACAATTGTTTGGGTGAGACGAGGGTCGAGAGAAACATTTTCCTCCACGAATACTTCCTACTATATCTTCTACGCCACGAGTAGGATGAACATTTATTTTTGTTTATTTCTGAGTACATCTGGTTTCAATAACCTAAATGTCTGCCACGGTGAATCAAAAAATAACAGATTGAACAGTTTTTACTGAGGGCATCTAGTGAATAAAAAAGAAACAAGTTGTAGAAGCGATATAAGCGCTTCTGAACACCGAATTGTCACAACCAAGTGACAGACGCCAGTGATTCTAATAATTTGACTTGATGAAGAACTGCGCTAACAGCTTGAAACGTCGTTCTGACTTTCTAGGCAGATGCAGTCCATTACCAACGCCTTTCTAATTGATAATTTTGGGGCTTTTTCCACATTTCTTTTACTTTCACACTAAATAACCTTTTTGACATAACAATAATCTAACTTATGCATTTCCTAGTGGCATTTTTAGGTGTTATTTGATCATTAACCACCACTTGTGATAAAGGTGCAAATATCTGTGTCCTTAAGTGACTTCTGTTTATTTTAGGATTTTCGCCCAAAGCTACTCAAAAGGTTATCTGCATATAGTCTTTCTTAATTCTGAGCTAGAAGACAAGAAAGAAGGCAGCTAGTCACAAGCACCAACCGACAACTCTTGAGATTCTCTTGTCTGACTGAGTAGTGGAATTTTGCTTTCACTCTCATATCATCCACATCCCTAACGAACGGAACGCGCTTATGCAACAACGAAACGCGAACCATAAAACCGTGAATTTCTAGTCTGGACACGCTAACTACAAAATCACGCCTGGCTCTCCAAAAATGAAACATTTATACAACAAATGCATATTAATGGTATAAACATATACACTTTTTTTCGTGTATCTTCTACATCAGTACTTCATTTTTTCTTTATAATACTATTACAGAGTAATATTAATACTGTTACAAATAGAGACTTTGTTCTTAACGCGTAGCTACACAGTGAGCTATCTTTGCTCTGTCCTCCCCGAGGAATCAAACACATTAATTATAGATGTGTATTCTATCTGGTAACTTCTTAATGTGGTGTGACACGTTAATTATATATGTGTACTTTAGCTGGTAACAGCTTCGTGTAGCATCATACAGTAATTATAGATGTG